TTAACATAGGCCTATTATGCTTTGATATTTTACAGCAATAATATTGTGAGTTTTTATGGCTTGACGTGGTGTATATTGACTATGGTATAAAGTAATAAAATTAGTGCTGTCAAATCGATTAATCGCATCTAACATAAAAGTTTGCATAAATAAATAAATAAACAAATATACAGTGCCGTTCAAAAGTTTAAGATTTTTAATGTTTTTAAAAGATGTCTCTTCTGCTCACCGAGGCTGCATTTATTTAATTAAAAATACAGTAAAAATTGTGAAATATTATTAAAATATAAAATAACTGTTTTCTATGTGAATATATAGTAAAGTGTAATTTATTCCTGTGATCAAAGCTGAATTTTCAGCATCATTACTCCAGTCTTCAGTGTCACATGATCCTTCAGAAATCACTCTAATATTTGATGCTCAAGAAACATTTATGATTATTATCAGTGTTGAACACATTTTTTTCAGGATTCTTTAATGAATAGAAAGTTCAAAATAACAGCAATTATCTGAAATAGAAAGCTTTTGTAACATTATACACTACCGTTTGAGGTTAGTAAGAATTTTTTTTTAAAGAAATGAATATTTTTCTTCAGCAAGGACTCATTAAATTGATCAAATGTGACATTTATAATGTTACAAACTATTCTATTTTAAATACAGGTGAAACTCGAAAAATTTGAATATGGTGCCAAAGTTCATTTATTTCAGTAATTCAACTTAAAAGGTGAAACTAATATATTACATGCAAAGTGAGATATTTCATTTATATTTACATTTATTCATTTAGCTGATGCTTTTATCCAAAGCGACTTACAATTGCTATATATGTCAGAGGTCGCACGCCTCTGGAGCAACTAGGGGTTAAGTGTCTCACAGTGGATTCGAACCCGGGTCTCTCACACCATATTTCAATTACTTATATTATGACTTATAGCTTATGAAAACCCCAAATTCGTGAAAAGTTTTAAGAAGCTGTAATCCATAATCATCAAAATTATAACAAATAAAGGCTTGAAATATCTCACTTTGCATGTAATGAGTCTATATAATATATTAGTTTCACCTTTTAAGTTGAATTACTGAACTTTTGCACGATATTCTATAATTTTTCGCGTTTCACCTGTAAATGCTGAACTTGTGTCTCCTAAAAGAGTTGCACTGGTTTAGTCAGACTGAATCGCAGCACGTGTCCCATATCTGTCACTTGTTGATTTTTCTTCTTCTTTCGGAGGTCAGGACAGGAACGTTCCAAATAAAGCACGTAATGAACTCGCGGTTCCCTTTCACCTTTATCCTATATTTAGTGTGTCCTCCACAGCTTTAATGTATCGATGGATTTTTCTCCTCAAACACTAGTTGAGCCCATTAGGTCATTGTGTTGGGTTATTTTCACTATGTTGGGTCGTTTTTGTGCAAACCCAGGATTAGTGGTCGGGTCAGTGTCACAAACTGATGCCTTACGATCTGGATCAAACTGGAACGTCCAGTTCTGAGAAGATGAAAAACAACATTTTGCAGGGAAACGTATTTCTAATATAGAGTCAGAAAAGTTTGTTTGTTTAACTTCTCATTTTAAAAATGTAAGATTTTTTTTTACCCTCTTAAAAATAAAGTTTTTTTTTATGGATCCATGAAGAATCTTTAACATCAATGGAATCCTTATGTTCTTTATAGTACAAAAAAAAAGATTGTAAGATTTTTATTAAGATTACACTCACAAAAAAAAAAAAATATATATATATAAGATTAATAACATGTTCTTCACAGTAAAAAAAAAATTCTTCCATTTGGCAATGCTAAATTATTTTTAAGAGTGTACAATATGAAAATGACCATTTTATGCATAATTTAGTTGATATGAGCTAATTTGTCTGTTTGTGTGCAGACTTTATTAAAAGGACTAAGTGTTTCTTTGACCATCAGAACGGTCAGATCTTGTGAAAGACTCTTATCTCTGCGTAATCTGTAAATATTGCTGATAGACCTCAGTGGTTTCATCAGATTTAATGCAGTTTTGTGATTTAGCTTCAGCAAATGTCTGATGAAAGAACGCTCTCAATCTCAATCAAACCGATCAATTATACGACATGTGAATCTTTCACAATCCGTCCATCTGTGATCCATTTTATTGTGATGAGAGTGCGTGGCGAAATAGTTGTTTGAACAACTTGAAAAGCTTAAATGTGAGGTTATGTCTGTGTGAAATGATCAAGTTCCACATTCAAATACAAAATAAACCATTAATGGGACGTGCTTTACTGATGTGGCCAACAAATAGCTATCGGGAAACACTTTCAACACGTGAAGGACAGGACAAATAACTTCTGAAACTCTGCAGCTTGCAGGTATACATGCAATTTCAAAAGTGCATATGGCGCCATCAAAGAATTTGAGGTAAACTTTAGCAAAAAAAAATATTTTTACAAATTTTTTATATTCACTTATAAATACAACACCTCATATAACGTAAGCCATGTCATAATGAGCGGGATGACAGCATTCATTATCCATTATCCCGTCGTCATAGGGAACAGTGATGACGTGTGGCCACTAGACGGCGCCTGCGCACTGAGTTTTTTTTTGTTGCAATTTTTAACAAACACAAGATACAAAAACAGACAAACTTTCAGACAATAAACATGTTATAGTTCTATAGCCAACAAGAAAAATAATATAAGGAAGCCCGATTTATCTATTGAAAATGATTAGCAAAGAGAAGTACTGGAAAGAAAAAAAGGAAGAAGAAGAAAAAAGGAAAAAGTGGGCGCACAAAAAATGAAAAGCACATTATGAAAGAATATTAAACAAACTCTAGATGTTTTTATAGCTCTCTTATTTACAGATATGCAGCACACTGATAAAAGTGAATTTCGTGGTGAAGTAAATACTACAAAAAACAACAATGAAAAAGTGAGTTCAGGCAAGAATTTAAAAAAATAAGTAAATTCTATATTAGTACTCAATTCAAGCGTGTAGAAATTAAAGCGTAAATATCAACGTTATAAAATTAAGTAAAATTACTCAACAAGTGTTCCCATCATGCACTGGGCCTTGAATAATTAATGAGGTTGATTCATAACTGTTTTCCAGCTGTATTTACACGGTTTCATCATTGCTTTTGTTGTTATTAGTAACTTGCCATTTTGTGACATTTTGAATTTTAGACTCACATTCAAACACAAAAACGATCCATCAAATGTTACTGTCACTGTGTATTGCCTACCAAGTATTGATATATGAGATATGTTGTATTAATTACAGAGATGTTTCTAAGTAAATCATAGACTTTAAAAGTGTGGTTTAAATCAATATTATAATGTCTGAGTGAAATGTATTGCAAAGGAAACTTCAGCTAAATAGACATTACTCAACCTTTTACTAGCTGAGTTCACATTACATATTTTCTTTATTACTTTCACTTAACTCAATTAGAGTTTACTTCATTCCATATGTGAAATTTACTTAAAAAATATGCGTGCAAAAACTTGCCAAAGAACAATTAAGTAAATTTAACTTTACGATTACATCCTCTGATTTCTCGCAGGATGATTGTCCATGTGAAGATGAAAAAGATATTATTCATATTTTTTCCCTTTGCTTTTTTATTTATTTCTTGTGATACAGATTACCATTAAATTCCTATTAAATAGCCATCAGACATTGCATAGTTAGTCGTTAAACAACGCATGACACAAACAAAACACAAACATTTATTGAACCAACGCTATTAAACTATGATATCTGAACTCAGCCAATCCAAACCACTGAATCCAATGCACAATTTTTTGTTAAAAATATTCTTTCCTAAATATAAATAATAAAATAATGTTGTGGCACTTGTGATTTTAATGTCGCATCTGCTAAATGAACACACCTCTCTATATTATATTGAATATTAAAGGGACGGCTCACAACAACAACAACAACAAACATAATTTACATGTTTGACTTTCTTCTGAAGGATGGTGGGAACCAAACAACATTGGACCCCGTTGACTTTCACTGAATGGACAAAAAACTTTTTCTCAAACATGTTTGGAATCTTTTTTTTTTTTTTTGGGTGGATCCCTTTCAGGTCAGATACAGATAAAGGCTCCAAAGGTTTTTTTCATCGCAATGAACCATTTTGGTCCCCTAAAGAACCTTTCAGTGAGTTCTTAAAGTCCCCCTGTGGTGAAAATCCATCTTTTAATGTTGTTTATGTGTGTATGTGGTGTTTTTAATACGCTTTAAGACACACCATGTGTAAATTCATAAGTCGACAGCATTGCTGAGTATTTCCTGCTTAAAACTGCAGTGAACCAAAGACAGTCTCAAACACACGGTTTGAAATCGCTGGTGTTTCTGACGTCACAAACGACCTTGTAACCAATCAGATCAACGTGTGATCGTCAACCAGTGGATCTCTGAGTGAGTGAGTGCGTGGAGGCGGGGCTCATTTGCATATTCATAAACCGCGCATACTAAATGAGGCGAGGGTGTCGAGTTACATTCAATCATGAAAAAGGCACGTTTAAATAAGTCATTTTGGTGATCAAAGATGAGTTTTAAAGGGATACAAATCTACAGAGCGACTTCCACTATAAAGAACATTTTGAGCAACTTAAGGGAAAGGTTGTTAAAGGTTCTTCATTAAAATAACCAATAAAGAAGCTTTGTTTTTAAGAGAGCATGGTCTGGGAACTTCTATTGGTAGAGTTTGTTTCTGCACAGATAGAGATGAGTGATGGGATGCTGTGGCTCCAGCCTCTGCACCGGACTGGTTTCCCCGTATGAAACAGCCTGGATTGCGTCATATGTACCGTTCAGTGGTTTAGGGTTACAGTGTTGCGGGTCACTGGCGCAGAGGTGAGGCTTTGGACTGCGGCTCGACGTGGCACTGTAAGTGTCGTGTGTTTATTTGTTCGCGCTAATGATTAATCCCAGCAGGGCTATATATATAGCTATACTTCAGTGTGTGTGTGTGTGTGTGTGTGTGTGTGTATGTGTGTCGCTCACCTCCACCGTCCTCCCTCCCCTCGAGCGCGTGCACACGTGTGACAGACACCGTCATTGGTGCGTCCCTTAAACGTGTCACAACTTTTGATGGATTACCCCACTTCTGAGTGCTCACTCTCTGCGGCCACTCACTAGTGCTCACTCTCTCCAAACCAGTCCCAGTGAAACGAGCAAAGCAAAACTTTGCATCATGCTCTCAGAGTCGTTGTCGTGGTCCGCGTTCACGGTGCTGTCCACGCTGGCGGTGCTGAGCGCGCTCACGGTGAAGGGCACGAGCACGGCCAGCACCGTGTGCCCGACGTGCGGTATACCGGCGATGGAGAAGGACGCGGAGGAACGATACCTGATCGAGATCGCGAAGCAACAGATTCTGAACAAGCTTCACCTGCGGGAGAGGCCGAATATCACGCATGCGGTGCCGCGCGCCGCGCTCATGACCGCGCTCCGGAAACTGCACGCGGGGCGCGTGAGACAAGACGGGACGCTGGAACTGGACAATAACTTACCGAACTCGCTCACGAATAACCAGGCGTACGAGATAGTGAGCTTCGCTGATGTCGGTGAGTAGCCTACATCTGACTTGCATTGAAACATTCTTAAAATGTTCATAAAAAAAAAGAAAAAGAAAAAAGGTTGGTTTAACTTTAAAAAGTAAGTTACCTGGTTGCCTCACAATTTTTTTTTTTAATTCATAAGTTAAATGCAATGAAGGAGATTGGTTTATTCAACAGAAACTCAAAATATTATTTTATCTGAACCATGTGAATTATAGAAAAGGTGTGAAAACAAATAATACAATTTTTTTACAATGTAGACACATTCTTAAAATGTATTTGCGTTAATTGGTACCCACGCTGTAAAAAAAAAAAGTTCATTGAGTTCATTGAAAATAAAAAATTGAGTCATTAAAATTATTTTCATGATTTGTTATCACAACTAATTATTTTGGTTCAGATAACTTAATATTTTGAGTTTCTGTTGAATAAACCAATATCCTTCATTGTATTAACTCAATTTATTATTTTTAATGAACTCAAAATTGTAAGGCAACCAGGTAACTCACTTTTTAAGTTAAACCAACATGAACGAATTGAACCACATTAATAATTTAAGTTGATTTGACAAAAGAAAAAAAGTTTTGAAAACAAATCATGAAAAAATTTTTTTACAGTGCACTGCAAAATAAAAAGTTGGTTTAACTTAAAAAAGTTAGTTAAAAGGTTGCCTTACAATTTTGAGTTCATTGAAAATAAAAATTGGAGTTAACTTAATACGATTAAGTATATTGGTTTAATAAATAGAAACTCAACATATGTTATCTGAACCTAAATAATTATCCAAATTGATTTGATAAAAGATAAAAAGTTGTGATAACAAATCATGAAAATATTTTTTTACATTCTCAGAGGCAAAGTTATGAACAAACTTTGTTCCTAACGTTAAAACATTTGCGTAACTTAAATATAAAACATTCTTAGAAATATTTTTGCTAGCTGGGTTATTGTGCCTTCATAAAGGCATGCTTATAAAATGCATAAAAAGTTTTTTTATCAATAAAACATTTATATACTTACAAACTCAAATATTAGAGTTGTGTTCAATACAGGGATATTATAGGCTAGTTAACTAAAACCATCATTGTTACTTGAAATAAATAAAAAAAGTGAAAAAAAAGGCCAAGGCAACAGTTCTCATTTTTATTTAGTTTAACTTGATGTATTAAAATAACTAGACATAATAAAATATAGACATTAGTGCTGGGCAATGATTAATCCCATCCAAAATAAAAGTTTATGTTTACATAATATATGTGTGAAAACTGTGTATAATTATTTTGTATAAATAAATACACACACATGCATGTATATATTTAAGAAAAGTGTGTTATTTATATATAAAATATTTATATTTACAGTATACACATGCAAATATTTCTTAATTACTGTATATACATGCATAAATAATAGCTTATTTTTAATGCAACTCCCGATGTCATTCGCTTCCAAAAAAAATAGAGATATTTGGTATCATATCACTTGGATTTATTATCATAATTATAACCACAACCACAGGTTTGCAGTCGTACGTTTCCCATCCATCGTCTTCTAAGCTCTTCTGTGATTTCTCTCCAGATGACGAGGTTTCGCCGGGTTTCGCCACCAGTCTATCGTTCCAGTTCCTCCAGGAGAAAGGCCACAGTGTTCAAGTTCTTCAGTCGTCACTGTGGCTCTACGTCCGTCCAGCGGACGCCCCTCGTCCAGGTGAGCGTGTGAACGCTGAGATCTACCTGTCGGGCGCTAACAATCGCACACTGCTAATCCAGAGAAGCGTTGAGGTCTCGCGGGGCGGCTGGCACACGTTCCCCGTCACCGTTGCCCTACAAGCCTTTCTAGACGGAGGCCAGCGTCGCCTCAATCTCGAGGTTCACTGCGAAGACGGCGAGCGAAACCTGTGTATCCGCGACGCTTCCGGCGAACACCAGCCGTTCCTCGTAGCGCAGGTGCGTTTGCGTGAAGACGCCGCGGCTCACGCGCTGAGCAAACGCTCGCTACGCTGCGGAGACGACGTGAGCGTGTGCTGCAAGAAAGACTTGTACATTAAGTTTCGTGATATACAGTGGCAGGACTGGATCATAGCGCCCGAGGGATACCACATGAACTACTGTATGGGACAGTGTCCTCAACATCTCTCGGGGTCGCCCGGCATAGCCTCCTCGTTTCACGCCACCGTCTTCAGTCAGCTAAAGGCTAACGGGATCCACACCGCCGTGTCGTCCTGCTGCGTCCCCATCCAGAGACGCCCGCTCTCAATGGTTTACTTCAACTCTCAGCACACCATCGTGAAGACCGACGTCCCGGACATGATCGTGGAGTCCTGCGGGTGCACATAAACAATAAACACTAGCAGTGCTCTTATTTATCTGCTGTTGGAACACCTTCTAATCAAGGCTTTCTGTCTAAGCATTATGGGTTTTTATCATAGACTGGAAAAAAATATGGACGTATGTTTCTGAAGAGCATTTTTGAAGCCCAAAGGAAAATGGGCAAAAAGGCGATTTAGCTGAGGTGACGCTAACAGACAATCCACCTGTCACTCAAGAGGCCACGCCCCTTAATTATGCAGAACTTTAAGGCTTCATATCATTTAAACGGATGAGTTATAAAAAAATTCACCCCCCTCACAGTCGTCATGAGAGAAAAATCAGCAATATAGACCAAAAACACTTTTTTTATATATATATATAAAGAACAAACACTAGCAGTGCTCTTATTTATCTGCTGCTGGAACACCTGATCAAGGCTTTCTGTCTAAGCATTATGGGTTTTTATAGATGTTCAAATACTCAGGGAAGCACACTGGCACGGTTACCCCACATGACAGATTCAGGTGTCGCTACACGTCCCGGCGAAGGTCTGAAAGTGGACATTTACTCGAGAAGCAAAATGACTCGAGTCAGAATGAAGTGCTTAAAACAAGGGAGAAAATTTGCCGGTCAGAACAACAGTCTTGTTTTTCCTTTGAATTAAGTTTATTTTTCTGACTCCATTGGCAGATGTCTGTTTCCGACACAGAATACAAAATAAAAAAGGTAATTGCGACTTTTTTATCTCACAATTGCGTGAAATTCCGACTTTATATCACGCAATTGCAACTTTATATCATGCAATTGTGACTATATATCACGCAATTGTGACTATACAGCCCGTTCTCATCCTTTGGTGTCATACATGTGACGCTTTGGACATTTCGTTGAAATCTTACGCACATGGCATCGTTTAGCGTGAATATGAGACGCAGATCCCAAGGCGTCATAACCGTACCCTACCCCAGACCTAAACCTACCCATAACAGTGCGTTTTATATTGACGCTAAAGGATCCCATGTGCGTAAGATTTCGACGAAATGTCATATGGCATCACCTATATGACGCCAAAGGATGAGAATGCGTTGGACTATATATCACGCAATTGCAACTTTATATCACGCAATTGTGACTATATATCACGCAAATGTGACTATATATCACGCAATTGCAACTTTATATCACGCAATTGTGACTATATATCACGCAATTGCAACTTTATATCACGCAATTGTGACTATATCACGCAATTGCAACTTTATATCACGCAATTGTGACTATATATTACGCAATTGCAACTTTATATCACGCAATTGTGACTATATATCACGCAATTGCAACTTTATATCACGCAATTGCAACTTTATATCATGCAATTGTGACTATATATCACGCAATTGCAACTTTATATCACGCAATTGTGACTATATATCTCACAATTCTGAGATAAAAAGTCGCAATTATCTTTTAAAATGTTTTATTCTGTGGCGGAAACAAGTTTTCATAGTTCTCAATTCATTTAGAAACAAGACTTCCCCAGTTTTAAGAATGTTTAGATCTTTGTAACGGAAAACAATACAAAAATACTGAGAAAGAAAATCTTTTTCTTTGCAGTCTCTGACGAATGTTTCTCTCGTGATAGATTACTTCTGACCGGTTACGCCAAAGCCAAACGCAACTAAATATGTGCAGTACTGGCTTTTCTTTTCAAGCTGTTTAAACAGATTTCTTTTATTTGTAATATTACTAATAATAATGATACGTTTTATTTATATAGCGCCTTTGCAAAAGCAGTACAATTAATGTACGATAATCTACAAACAGTTCAATAATCTACATTGTACATGTTACAAGTGTCATGTTTTGGTGTGTATTTTGTCTCATTTGGTTTGAAGCACTTCCTCGGGATGCATATATCAGTGTGTGTGTGTGTGTGTGTGTGTGTGTGTGTGTGTAATATATCAGTGTGTGGATGAGTTTGAGCTCATAACGTTCTGCAACTGCACTTTATACGTTATTTTTGCATAGTTAGTACAAATGAAATCCGATCTACATGTGCTTTGTTTATTTTTGCTTCGACAAAAATAATACTGTAACTTGTTGCACAATATTGAAGCTATTCATTTAGCTTTTTGA